CTGTTTGGACAGCTGTTGCGCCAAAGGTTGACGTCGTAGGCGCTCCGATGCGAGGCGGACACCTAGAAGCATCAGAGACGCCTGTCCACTCATGGCCTTCAACAGTTTGTGCAACAAGTCGCCCTCGATCCTGTGGCCTATGGTCAGGAGAAACACTGTGCTGTTGCGCGCTGGCGTCTCTCCTGTGAGGGGACGAGTGGATCTGAAGTTCAGGATGAGCTCCGGGTGCTCCGTCACCCACGTTATGATCTGCTGCACATCCTGAAGGAGGGCGGCTTGGGTTATGCCCGGGGTCTCTGCCGTCTGGAGAGATTTGCTGGCCGGGTCCCAAACCAGCCACTTCCACAACAGGTCTCCTTCCCCAGTGCACCAGCCCTGACGAGCCGCGTCCTTCCTCATGTTGGGGTCCTGGGCCAGCTTGGTCAGGCGGACCTTCAACTCCTCCCACAGTCCCAGGAAAAGGGGCCAACTCGTCTTCCTGCCTGATGGCCAGTGGGGCTAGGGTGCGGATCAGCTGATTGTTGCTGGATGACGGCTGGGGCTCGTCCCAGGTCTCCTCCTCTTGCCACTGGTCCATCCGGAAGAGCTGAGGCTGCGTTGGGCGCCCGCGCTTGAGCGGGGCACCCGGAACTTTGCGATGCTGCCAGGGAGGCCGTCCTGCTGGATTCAGGCTGGGTGCACGGTAAGCTGTGCTGTGGCCCTGCGCTTGACCTCCCGCGAAGTTTGACCAGATCGCCGCGACCTCCGGATGTGGGTTGTCCATGGCGGAGGGTAGGCTCTTCCTGGCTTGGACCTGAGTGCTGCATGGGACCAGGCGAACGTCCTTGGCCAGCGGAGTCTGCTGCATTCAAGCGTGCATGCCCTTCTGCCTGTGTAGAGTCACCAGGGGGCGGAGCTTGGAGACTTAGGAGAGTCCATTGTATGAGAGGGGGACACAACACCGTGTGTTCTTTGTATCTAGAGTTCTTGATGGCGGACTTACAAAAGGTACAGGGGTTGCCAACACTTTTAGTGTAGTTCTTGCACAATGTTAGGGCCTGGTCCTTGGCCTTCCAAATGGGTGCATGCTTCTGCCGCAGGTGTGTTTTGATGGCATCTGAAGACACTTGCGCTCCGCAGAAAGCACAGTGCTGGTTAAGATATTCACACATGCCGCCATCAGGCATTTTGGCCGTCCTGGCCTGCTGAATCAGATCCTTCAGCGGCTTTCCTGGCAGATCAGTTTGGTTCGGCACAAGCAGCCATCCCTCCGAGATGTTGTGCACAAGCTGCAGGAAAATGATTTGAAGTAGTGTTGGGCAGTGTACAACATGTTGCCTGGCTGCATGGTCGTCGCCGAAGGTGGTGCCACAAAAGGGACATCCGCGAGATGTCATGTGCCCCCGGAAGACCTGGCATCTTTCCAGGGCACGTTCATGCCATTGCTCCCATTCGGTAACATGGAACTTACGAATATGAAGCCTAATCCCATTTTTCCCTGCGCACCATTGATGACAGAAAATGCAATTTGAGAAAAGTTTTTGACAGGCCAGGGGGTGCTGCTGGGCAATGACAAGGGGACTAAGATGAAGGTAACCAACAAAGGTCTTGATAAATTCCAGTGAGTTGTTGGCATGCAAGGCCGACTGTGAGGTGCCAGCATGAACATGGTCAGGTGGCAGGTCAGGTGGGGGGGGGTTGTTCCTCCACCCAACGTGAGGCTCCAGCTGTAGGGGCGATCGCTATGTTGGCCGGGCGCATTTCTGTGGACTGTTGCTGCGATGGGCCTGCAAGGGTGGAAACAGGGTGGATCACAGTCTCCCGGCCTTGCTGCAAGGTTCCTTCTGAGCATGCGCGGTGTTCGACAGGCTCGGCCTGTGAGTGGACCTGAGTCGGGGCACGCAGCGCAGGACCTATCACGTCGAAGGTGTTTGGTTGATCAACGGCAGAGCCGCTTGCGTCGGTGCCAGGCTCTGGGTCAGGCACAGCACGTGGCGCCACATGCTCAATAAGGGCTGATCCGTCAGCCTCCACAGGTTGGGTGTGAAACATAGCTTTGCAACTGCGACGGTAAACATGTTTCTGCAACGCCTGCCATGAGAGGAAGGGGTGCTTGCAGTGTGCACAGGTTGGCATGCCACCGAGCCCGTGTAGGCGACGATCAACGTGTTTCCAAGGCCGGTGATCTAAATTGGCTTTGATAGCCTGGTGCTGTTTGATCATGCGCCGCTTCAATGTGGCGACACTACTGGCACGGTAGTCACATTGATTGCATTGCAGGTCAAGTGCAGGGGCAGCGTTGTCAAGTGGGGTGGAATCTCGCAAAATATGCT